AAACCCCCCAAATTCCCATGCAGCCACTTTGGAGAGCACCGGGGTCCACTCTCCCCATAAGATGTGCAGTCAGCCAGGGGAGCCAGCCATGAACGAGCGTATGCCCAGCTGCACGGCTCGCGTTCCCGGCCAGTGGACTGGAGCCCGGCCATCTGCAGGGTCTCGCTGGAGCCAACCTGAGGCGGATGGTGGGCAGTGTGCTCTCATCCTTCCAGAGCGCAGCTGGGTGCCCCTGGCTAAATCTGGGCAGTGAGTGCAACGAGGAGGAAGCGATGCCAAAGATTGCGCAAAGCCCTGGCCCAGGGAGGCCGGCTCCCTCAGGCGCGGAGCCGTCACGCTGCTGTCCCTGTGCCCGAGCACACAGGTGCTGGTGGATATGGCAGAACAGGGCACGTCTGGCCCTGGAACAAACAGAAACCGATGCTTCCCTTCCCTCCAAGAACTGCATGTTCTCTCCTAATTACTAACCGCCCCCCCCCCCCCGCCCCATCTCTCTCCCTCTCACACACACACCTGCACAGCCCTGAAGGCTGAGGCTCCGCCATCGCTAGGAGCCGTGCCTGCAGCAGTGGAGGGCCTAGCCACCCGCTGAAGCACAATGTCACAGCCCAGACAGGTCCATGCCCAACACAGGAGGGAGGGAGGGCTGCTCCTCAAATGGTGCCGGTAAGGCTGCTGGCCAGAAGCTGGACATGAGACACTTAGGGTGACACAGCATGGGCAGGAAGTGGACCGTGTCCCCAGAACGATGATGTGGGAGAAGCTGAGGAAGGGACTCCCGCTTCCGGCAAAGCCTGGCTGAGGCGCCCCTGACCTGGCTGGCCCAGATGCCCCCTCGCTCTCCTTGGTGCCCCGAGTGGAAGGGCTGGTCAGGTGGAGAGGCCGGGACTGTGCCAGCTGTGGTCGGGGCTGGAGCTGAAACAGAGGGGCTGACAAGGAGCTGGCTTCCTGGTGAGTGGAGGCAGAGCCGGCACCAGATACCAGGTGGACAGACAGGCCTGGGAGGGTCTGAGAGTCCCAGGAGACAGGGCAAGGTGAGGAGACCAAAGGCCAGTCAGGAGACCAGGGCTAAAGAGGCAGTTGGAGCAGAAGGAAGGAGCCAGGCAGGAGAACAAAGGGCTGGGGAACTCCAAAATGGGGCACGTTCCTGCCCCTGCAGGGCACTGGCACTTTCTGCTGGGTGGAAGCCAACCTCGGGGCCCGCAGGACCCATGACCTGAGAAGGCACATGATGCTGTGTCAGACCACCTGCCCTACCCCCTGCTCTCTCCTACCTCTGACCTTTGCACATGCTGTTCCCATGGCCTGAAACAGCCATCTTGACCCTCGCCCCCGACCCTGCTGTCCGGGCCACAGTGCCTGGTACACCCCTCCAGCACTCAGCACTGCACGGCAGGAGTCCGTATGCACATCTCTCTCCCTGAGATTGCAGGTCCCGGAGAGGATGTTCTGATGTGCTTTTCTCTCTCCTAGGGCCTCGCTCCAGTAGCAGCAAACATCAGCCAGGCTGGCGAGCCGGGCCAGGTGCCAAGGGCTCTCTGGTGTGGCCAGTGTGCCACCTGCCAGGGCCTCCTGGGCGGGCCACCTCCTGGCTGTTAGGTCCCACCGGACTCATTAGCTTCCACCTGCACAGCAGCCGCATGTGCCCTAACTCCATGGCAACCATGAGCCGCTGGTCCCAGAGCCCTAGGCTTGGGACTATAGACTCTGCCTGAATAAGGATGTGGCTCATGGCCCATCAGCCCTCCCTTTCCCAGAGCTGGGTACGGCCAGTGGGCAGGCTGTGGGCAACCCATGGGCCCAGGCGGGCTACACCTGGGCATGCCAGAGTGGAGAGGGTAGTTCTGGGTTCTTCAGAGGCCCATTGACAGTTTCCAAAGACACCAGCATGACCACTAGGGAGCTGGGGGTCCACTGGGATGGGTCCTTAATCCAGAGCTTTCCTTGGCTGTCTATCTGGCCAGCCCCAGCCCAGACTTGGGGTCATGAGCAAGGGGCTGAGGACGAGCCTTCTGACTTGCTTACATGGAGTCCATCAGGGGAAGCTGAGGCAAGTGCTGGCCCCGTGCCCTGACTGCCAAGGGCATCTCCCTGGAAGTGGGCAGCCCTATGGAAGGACAGGCCCCTGCTCGGTGCAGAGTGGGGAGACCTGAGTGGGATGGTAGGGACTGGAACAACAGAAATGACTGGACAAGCCCCTGAGGACTTATCAGGAGCCTCCCTGCCCCCCAGGGGCTTGGTGCACTGGGCACAGAGCAGGGGGAACCTGAGTTGCAGACACTGTCCTCGCACCAGACAGACCCAGGCTCCCCACCGAGGAAGCCTCAGTTTCCTCATCTGATCAGATCTTACGAGATTCTGGCACGCAGCTGGTCAACATACAGGCCAGCCTTCCCCATCCAGCTCTGCCTGCGGGGCACTGAGTCTGCCGCCTGGCCACGGCTCTGTGGGCCACGTGGGACTGACTTAGGGGCAGGAACTCTGCCACCCTGAGGGGGGACACCAGGGGGCTGTGTGCTTTTCCTTGGGGTGTGCCCACCAACAAGTGGGTTCAGGGAGAGAGTCTCCTCTGATGGGGAGTGACCCAAACTGCAGGGGGCCGCCACTCACTCTTTCCGTTGGTCGGCCAGCGAGCTGCCCCGTGTTAGGGCAAACATGTCAAACTCGTCCTCCAGGCGGCCGGAGGTCTCCAGAGACTGCAGGCCAGCCCTCACGCTGCTGGAGCCCAGGTCTGCGGGGACAGAGAGACACGTAAGACTCCGCCTGCTGCTCTCGCACGCGCCGTGGCCAAGCTGCTCCCTGCCGGGCCCAGGGCTGGTTCTGGGTGGGCAGCACAGAGGGGGGTGCACACAGGGCAGGATGCATAAACGGGGCAGCCACGTGCTGGCTTCGGGACCATGGGCATAGCTACCGCCTCACTTGAAGTGATTTCCTGGGCTTGGCATGAAGCAGTCAGTAAGAGTAAAACCAATCACAGTGATAGGTCAACCATTTGATGGCTAACGTGTGCCAGGAGCCCACTCCGGCCTGGCACTGCTCTGAGCCTGGCCCGTGCCCGAGTTCATTCAGTCCTCATCACCGGCTGTGAGGACGGGCCCATTCCTGCCCATCCCAGAGGAGGAAGGAGGGCACAGGACGTTCCCGTGACTTGCCCACGCTCACCCAGGCGATTCAGGCCACGGAGACTTCAGTGTCGAGGGCAACCTCAGAACAGTGGGACTGCTGAGGCCCGGGAGGGCTCAGCCATTGTGGGCTGTGAGGGAGAGCCCCATGTCTTGTCCCAGATGCTCAGCCTTGTGGCAAGATTCAGCCTGGGACCCCAGTGGGGTGGGGTCTGGGCTAACATCCTGCTGTTGGGGCTCCAGCTCCAACTGTAACACAGGATGGCACCCCCAGAACTGCAGGGGTACCCGCACTTACTCATTCCTGCCAGCTGGGACGAGAGGCCGCCAGTGGCTGCTGGGTCAGCGCCCATGTCGATGAGGTCAGCTGCCGCCTCGGCCTCACTGGGGGCCTGGGGGAAAGGGAGACCCACCGTCATGCCCCTGCCGGTGGCCTTGCTCCCCTCAGCCAGAAGCACTGGCCTGAGGAGCTGTCTCCCTCGCCCTGCAGCTGTGGCTTCTCCCCTTGGCCTCTAGCTCTGCTGCTCCCTCTGGAGGGTGGGCAGATCCTTGGGCACCAGCTGGTGGCAGAGCTTAAAAGGACAGTGACATAAAAAGCTAGAAGGGGACTTTTCTAGGAGCCTAGACAAGAAGGTGCATCCTGCACAGGATATGGGGTGGTGATGAGCACAGCCCTCCTTTTCTGTTAACAAGGCACGATCTGGTGACAGCAAAGCCGTTTACCTTGGCAGTCTGGCCAGTCCGGAACCGCTCGAACCTACGAGACAGAAAGAGTGAGTCAGGGAGACAGGCTGAGAGGCGCCTCGGCACAGCCAGGCAGAGCCCTTCATGTGCCGTGGGTCCCCCGGTTCTCCTCTAGTCTGTTCCCGTGGGCTCAGCATCAGCGCAGCGGTGAGTCTCGTTTGTCTGGGCAGACCCAGTGATGCCTGGCATCCGAGGGCACTATTAACTGTGCCCCTTTCACTTGCAGAAGTGACCCAATTTGGATTATCAACAACCTGGCCACTCCGGTCACGATCAGCGTCAGACAAACGAATAGGAATAGACTAGAGGAGAACATGGGATGCAGAGGTGAGGACTTCTGTGGAAGCTGCTCAGTAATCTACCTGTGTACCTGTGTGTGCCAGGGCCTGCAGTGGTATATGAAAGACACACATCCTTGCACTGCCCCGAGCCACTGGCCACCCTCAGACAGGCCTGGCCTTGGGCAAAGGGGGTTAAGAAGACCTGGGTCTGGGGTCTGTTCGAGTGCTGTCCCTGGCCCTTGTTAACTGTGTGACCGTGGGTACGTTACATCACTTCTGAACTTGTCTCCTTGTCTGTTAAAAGGGGGGTGAGAGTGGAACCTGCCTCCCCGATGTGAGGATCAGGCAGACACAGTGTGAGTGGTTGTGAATAGGAAGTACCACCAGGCAAATGCCAAGCCTGCTCTTTCCCCATTGCCCGTGATCCTGGTGGGACGGCTGTCAAAGGGCCCTCCTGTCCCCCCAACCAGTGGGCACAGCAAAGCTGAGCCAGATTCACTCGGGGACTTGCCCCTGAACAGAATGACACAAGGTGAGGAAGCATTTGGACCCATTTACTGATGGTGACACCTTGGGGACATGGTCTAGGACAGCGGTCACCAACCAGTGGTCCGTAAGGTCTGAAAGGTTGGTCTAGGAGGTTCTGCCCAGAGACCCCTGAGCTGCCCTAGGATCAGTCTGTCCCTCCTGCTCTGTTGGGAGGCCTTGCTGTTCACTCTCCTTTGGACTCGAAATGCTATGCATTTAATAGAGGCTATTCATCCCATCAATTCCTTTTCTAAATCAGCTGGAAACGCTGTGTGTACTTGCAGTCAAAGAGCCCTAATTAAGTCCAGTAAGTGGTCCGAGGCCCCAGAGCCAGGCAGCGGTGGAGTGAGCAAGGACAGACCAGCCTGCCTGGCTGCGGGCCCACGCGCTCAGCCACCACCCAGCCACCACCGCTGCCCTCGCCGGGGGCTGGACACAGGGGCATCGGGCAGGGCTAACTGGCGAGGAGAGGAGAGGTAGTGGAAGGCGGGGCATGCATGCCCACGCTGGAAGAAGACAGCTGAGGGTACATGCCTTGGGTGGCCGGCCTGGTGTTTGAGAGGAGATGAGAGGTCAGCCGTGTGGGGAGATCAGGGCACAGGGTAGGTGGGAGGGAGGGGGAGGGTGGGCAGCTGCAAGGCTGGGTACCGTTCGTGGCGCAGGAACACGTTGTTGAGATTGTCATTGACGATGAGCAGCTCCTCCGTCAGCTGCTCGTTGGCGATCCGGGGGATGAGCTCCAGGACCCGCTGCTGCATGGCTCGGCACGTCCGGTTGAGCTCCTGCCACGGAAGCAAGTAGGACAAGCATGGGCACCGGACCAGAGCGAGGCCATCTCTCCTGGAAGGGCTCTGGCCCCTGGTGACCTTGGAGAGCAGAGAGGACTCCACCCTGGACTGGAGCTCCACAGAGCAGCTTCAGGGGCTCCCAAACGAGCCTCTGAATTCCACTTCTGTGTTCCACACTCACATTCACCAACACGCTGGCTCCATGCAGACTTCATTTCCCTGTCGCCATCTTTGCTTAGTTGAACGGAGCTGCCAGGTGGCCCGGCCGAACAAACTGCAGCTTCTCTGGGTGTACTGGGGTATTTTTGGTAACCAAAACATAAAAGATAAACTGGATGGCCCTAGCTGGTTTGGCTCAGTGGATAGAGCATCGGCCTGCGGACTGAAGGGTCCTGTGTTTGATTCTAGTCAAGGGCACATGTCTGGGTTACAGGCTCGATCCCCAGTAGGGGGCATGCAGGAGGCAGCCGATCGATGATTCTCTCTCATCATTGATGTTTCTATCTCTTTCTCCCTTCCTCTCTGAAATAAAAAATATATATATTTAAAAAAATAAAAAATAAACTAGATGGCCTGGTGGTGTTGCTCAGTGGTTGAGTGTCGACTTATGAACCAGGAGGTCACGTTTCGATTCCCGGTCAGGGCACATGCCTGGGTTGCGGGCTTGATCCCCAGTGTGGGGTGTACAGGAGGCAGTCAATAAATGACTCTCTCATCATTGATGTTTCCCTCTCTCTCTCCCTTCCTCTCTGAAATCAATAAAAACATATATTAAAAAATAATAATAAATAAGCCCTAGCTGGTTTCGTTTAGTGGGTAGAGCGTTGGCCTGCGGACTGAAGGGTCCCAGATTTGATTCCAATCAAGGGCACATGCCTGGGTTGCGGGCTCAGTTCCCAGTGGGGGGCATGCAGGAGGCAGCCAATCAGTGATTCCCTCTCATCACTGATGTTTTTATCTCTCTCTCTCCTTTCCTCTCTGAAATCAATAAAAATATATTTAAAAAATAAATAAATAAACCAGATTAACACCAACTATTATCCACATTTTGAATTTTTGCCTCATTATTCTCAGACTTATTTAAAAAAACACTTTTATTTAGGAATGATAGATTTATAGAAAAGTTGCCAAGATAGTACAGAGTTTCTGTAACCCTTCACTCAACTTCTCCTTAGTCTGGCATTTGTCAGAACTAGGACATGACCATTGCTACAGCGCTATTAGCTAAACTATAGGCTTTGTTCAGGTTTCCCCAGCTTTTCTACTAACGCCCCTTTCTTGTTCCAGGAGCCCACATTGCATTTAGTCATCATGTCACTGATGGGCGCTTTTTTTTAAAAAATAAAGTTTTTTTTGCCCTATCCGGTTTGGCTCAGTGGATAGAGCGTCAGCCTGCGGACTCAAGGGTCCCAGGTTCAATTCCGGTCAAGGGCATGTACCTTGGTTGCGGGCACATCCCCAGTGGGAGTGTGCAGGAGGCAGTTGATCGATGTTTCTCTCTCATCGATGTTTCTAACTCTCTATCCCTCTCCCTTCCTCTCTGTAAAATAAAAAAAAGAAGGAAAAAAAAAAAAAGAACCTGGAGTGTTTGTTGTGAGAGAGAAACATGTTTTGGGTTATATGTTAGTACACACCCCGACCGGGGATCAAACCCAAAACCCAAGTATGTGCCCTGACAGGAAATCGAACCCACCACCATTCCGTGTATGGGATGACGCTCCAACCACACCAGCCCTTTTCTCCTGGAGGCATCACTGAGACTAGACGCTGTCCAACACTGATTTGGGATCTTTCTGGACCCTTTAAACCGCCCCCTCCTAGGTCAGGCCTTCTCCTGGGATTTCCTTATCTGCCTTTCGAGTGACTTTCAACATCTGGTGGGCCTCCCCTCGCTTCCTTCCACAACCAAGAGCACTTAGGGCTCTGTTTCTACTTCCTTGTCTGCTCAAGAGCAGCAGTTGGAGCCAGGGCCCTGGGTTCCAAACCCAGCTCTGCTGCTTACCAGCCATGGGACCCTGGGCGCATCACATGACCTCTCTACCTCAGTTTGCTGACCTGGAAAATGGGGTAAGAGTCCCTACCTCACGGGAGAGGGTGAAGATTAAGTAAGTGAATGTATATCAAGCGTCCACATCAGAGCCTGGCACTTGGGAAGTGCTCGAGGTCCCTGGGGCACCTCGCCCGCCTGCTCCAGCAATCACTCACACCCACAGCCCGGGCTTGGGACACACAAAATTAACTGCACTTCAGCAGCCCTGCGCTTCCTAGCTCCCTCACGCCTCTCACAGCCCTCATGTGGTCTTCACAGTCACATGTCCTTTCAACTCTGAGACTCCGCCTTTCCTCCCGCACCCGGAGGGAGGACCCAGGGCAGGGACACCCGGTCAGCTCAGGTTATCCCTGCCCTCAGGAGCGTGAAGAGAGACACAAAATGAGACCATCACACCAAGCACCCCATGATCCCCCTCATGGGTTCTGTGGCTCCTGGGCCTTTGGGTCCCCCAGCTTTTTCGGTGCCTCTATGAACTGACCTTCCTGGGGGAGGTGCCTCTCCCCAAACCCAGCTCCTCCTGCTTCAGTGCCTGACCCTCATCCCTCACCAGCTGGGGATGTGACTGTGGAAAATCTCCTGACCCACAGGAGCGAAGACCCACAGCTCCCACCTGCCTCCGCCCCGACACCAGCTGCTCTCTCACGCCTGCCTGCCAAGCTTGTAATCTGAAAGGTGGAAATCTCGCCTACCAGCTTTTTCTCAATATCATTTATCCATAGCTTACTCCGGACCAGGCACAGTGCATAAACCTTGTCTCATGCCAAACTTGTCTCATGAAAGCTACTGTTAGAGAGCCATCTTACAGATGAGGAAACGGAGGCAGAGGAGCTATTCTGAATTCCAATCTGATGGAGTCCCAAGTCCCTGGTGTTAACATCTCCTGTGTGATGAAGGGGTTCAGAGCAAGCATGGGAACTAGTGTGGGTGGGAGGGAATGTGTGTGGTCACGTGAGCACAGTCACTGGGGGCGGATGCGGGCTCACCTGTAGCAGCTCCAGGTCTGCGGGCTCTGCCTGGGTGGGCACCAGCTCCGTCAGCATCTCCGACATCACCCTCACGTTCCCACTCACCATCTCCAGCTCACTGCGCAGCTTCCCGATCTGAAACACACCGTCGCCCCGGTGAGAGAGGCCCGGGGCCGGAAGCCGATGCCGCCCACAGGGACTGAGCCTGGCGCCACCAGCCTGGGTGTGGTGCCCAGAGGAGCTGGCCTCCAGCACCCTCACTCGGCGCCCCCCTCACAGAGGCTCTACCAACCGTTATCATCTCCAAACTGGGGAGCCTGCTGCAGGGAGAGGCCGAAAGGAAAGAAGCGGAGGGCGGATGCACCACAGAGCCCGGCTGGAAGCTCCAGAGCTCCTGGGCCCACAGGCAGCTAACGAGGCCCGCAGGGCATTCCCCCAGAGAGGGGAGTCAGCGGCCGCCTCCCCCTCGGGGATGGGATTCTCCCTCTCTCCTCTCCTAGGCTTTCTGTCTTGCTCCTGGTCTGTTTGTGGTTCTGTGTCCCAGGCTCCTCTGAGGATGAGTCCCAGTACTGCCCCCACTAGGAGTACGAGACAGATTTAGCACTTGTTAGAGGGACAGGAGCAGGTTCTCAGTGATCCAAGGGCCGGAGGTCTTGGCTGGGGGATCATGGTAATCAGGCTGCAGTCCCTTCACCTGGGTGAGGGGGTAGTGAGTGGCCCTGTCTGATGCTGGGGGTTCGGTGGGGGCCGGGTCTCCTCGTGAGTGCAGTACACCGTGGGTGGCCAGAGACCACGGAAGCTCCAAAATTAATCCGGCTGAAGACTCCTTTGATCATGGAACACCTCGTGGGTCTCGTGACAATTAATCTAATTGTGACATTAATCTGAATGTCACAATGTAAATTTATGATGCCTGTGATAGCAGCTACCTTTTACCAACCACCGATTAAGTGCTTCAGCACATAACGTACATTGCTAATCAAACTTGACCACCATGCCCGGCCAGCATGGCTCAGTGGTTGAGCATCGACCTATGAACCAGGAGGTCAATGGTTTGATTCCTGGTCAGGGCACATGCCTGGGCTGCAGGCTTGGTCCCCAGTGGGGGTTGAGCAGGAGGCCGCCAATCAATGGTTCTCTCTCATCATTGATGTTTCTACCTCTCCCTCTCCCTTCCTCTCTGAAATCAATAAAAATATTTTAAAAAACAAACAAACTTGACCACTGTCTTACGAGGCAACTATCATTACCCCAGACGAAGCGCAGTGTTCAGACACAGGCAGTGCATTCACCAAGGTTCACTATCACCTTCCAAACCCGGAATACATTTGCTACATCTGGCCTCTTTAATGAGCACTCTTGGTGTAAGTGAGTGGAAAAACCACTGCTCACAAGTCCAGCGAGTGCAGGGCATGTGGGACCCAATTACAAGTCTGAGTTACATCACTGGGCGTCGAAGACTTACTGAGTCCCAGGAGACCACGGGCTCAGATTACACAGACGGTCCTGTTTGGTTTGGTGAGAACCTTCTGCACCAGACGCAGTCTTCATCCACGCAGCTGCCAGGCCTCAGGCAAACTGCTTTACAGTCATAGCCACGTAGATACATTTTACAACCCTTGCTACAGTTTTCCTGTACCTTGAATTATCTGTCCAGTTAGGAAAACTTCTCTAGTAATATTTACAACTCTGGGAGGTGATTTTATGATATCAAAGTACACAAGTTTCTCTTCACACAGGTTGGGGCTGAAGGGCTGTTTAGTGAGCTGGTTTACAGACCCGATGATACGGTACCAGAGACCAGCTGGCGCACTTTGGAAAGTCAAGTTCCACTTTTGTTCCATCACACACCTGTGCCTTTCTCACCGGCACTTTCGGTAGCTAAGCTCTTACACTTGGCTGACATGATGGGTCTGAAGTCTGCAGAACACCTCCCAGGGGCACCCCGACAGTGCAAGGCCCTGTCCCACACCCCCGCAGCCGATGACCAAGCACCCAGCCAACACTAGCCTGGCAGTGGGCGTCCCTTGCAGGAAGAGCGCGTCAGCCCCCTACAGACTGCTCCTGGCTGATGGGGGTGGGGGGCACCTCACCTCCAGCTTTAGGAGGAACACGCTGAGGGGCAGAGGCTGACTAAGCCATGTGACCCCTAGTCTGAGGAGGGTGCTCTTTCCAAGCTCTCCCAGGCCCTGGCCTGCCCCGGGGAACCTTACTACGCCCCCTCTTCTTGGGGCTTCACGGGAAGCAGCAGGATGCAATGCAAGGGGTTTTCAGGACTATTTGTGTGGATGTTTTAAACTGCGTTTAGCCAGAACCTCTGCTCAAATGTCACGTGAGCACATAAGCAAACCACACGAGGACAGTGAGCTGCTGTGGGCGAAGGGGCCCCTGCGGGGACTTCCTCTCCCTGGTGCTGCCCGAAGGGCTCTACCCAGAACAGAGCTGGAGGCTGGCTGACGCGCAGGACAGAGCCGGCCTGCAGCCAGACAGACCGGAGCTCGAATCCCAGCTCTGCCTCTGCTGAGCCGTGTGGCTCTGGGCGAGTGAATTTCTCTCTCTGAGCCTCCTCGTCCAAACAGGAGGAATAACAGGCACCGTGGGGTGGCTGTGAGGACCAGCAGAGGCCCCACAGTCCCTTTCATTCTGACAGGAGGTCTTCCCTGACACGTGAGGAGGCAGCCTCCACCGTGCCCCTTGGGGTTTTGACCCCGGCTCGTTTACCTGCTCAGGGGTTGGCGTTATGGGTGTGTCGCTGGGGAGTACAGCTGGGGTGGACACAGGAGCCGCGTGCTGGCTGGGGTCCCCCCGATGAGAGGTGTCAGTGCCCGCAGAATTCTGTCCGGACGGTGTCTCTGAGTTGAACACGGTCTAGAGGACAAATGGCTGGATCAGTGAGGCCCACAGGGGCCCCAGGAAGCAGCTGCAGAAAGCAGCGGGTGACGGCTCCTGCCTCCCCTCCCCACTGTCCCCGAGTCTCCTCACCCTCTGGGGTGTGTGGATGGGCGACAGCATGTCTAGGTCAGTCATTGGAAACTCCAGACCCTTCCGCCGCAGGTCCTCGTAGACGGCGACGACACCAGTCAGATCGGGCGAGCTGCGGAACGCGTCGGCCCAGGACTGAGGGGACCAAGGGACATGGCCGGTAAAGACTGTTCCTGAAGCCCTTTTAAGCTCACCTACCCCGTCCCAGAGAACAGCAATTCTGTCCCTGAGTTGCTGGTCCTTTTACAACATCACCCCGACACCCCACTCCACAGCAAGGCCCAATGCTGACAAGTCTCCCCACACTCTGAACGTCCAATCAGTAGACAGCCAAGGTGGCCCCAAATAAGAAACAGATCAAGGCGGCAGCAGCAGCAGCAGCAGCATCGGCTCCTTTCTCCCCGCCCGCCCCGCCCCGCCCCGCCCGCCCGCCCGCACGCACCTGGATGAGGTTGAGCACCTTGTCGTGCACGATGGTGGGGGGGTTGTTCTTGGGCAGGATGGTCCTCACCAGCACGCCCTCCACGAAGTCCTGGCTGGCCACCAGCACGTGGAAGCGGTGCCCACAGTTCTTGACACAGGTTTCCAAGACCTGGAGGCCAGGATGTGCCGTGAGCACCCGTGAGAGGAGGGGAGCACCCCGGGCCCCACCCTCCCACTTGGCTGATGTCCCAGAGTGCAGCCTGGGAGAGGATGGGGCCTCCTGAGGTGAGACCTGGCCCTCAGAGAAGCAGGGACGATGTGGGGTCCGGGCTGGCTTACTGGCTGGGCAGAGGGCGGTGTGCTGGCCAGAGGCCCTTCGCTAAGCGGCCTCGGTACCCACAGAACCCTGTCTATGCTCTTTCTGAGCTGAGTACAGTCTGGAGGGAGGTGGCCCTCCAGGTGGAAACCAAAGAGGACTTTCAATCAGGTGGACCCTGCGGCGGAGGAAAGGTGGCGAGCTTCCCTCCAAGTGTCCTGTTCCTATTCATGGCAGCAGCTGCCTTTACTTTTCAGCGCAGCGGATTCACCTGGATATAAGGCTCTGTGTCGGAGGCTGGCACAGAGCTCTCAGCCCCACTCCCCAGCAAACCCGCCCTGACAGCCAGGATGCCCACTCATGCCTGGCTCGTCCTGTTGGGGGCAAGGGCTGTCCTCAGCCACTGGCATTTGTTTTATGTTCGTTTTTCAGGCGGGATGTCCAGGTGCTATCAGCACCCACCTGCGCCTGCCAGGCTTCCTGCCACGGGCTCTCCATGGCTGGTTCTGAGGGACGGGCCTCCGTGTGCCTGCTCGCTCACCAGCCAGTAGGTTGGAGAGAACTTTCCCCAATGGCCTCTCCTGCCACTCCGTGCCCGCCAGCAGTGTAGTCAGGTCAGCACTTTGCCCAGGACCCTTCCTTCCCAGCCCTTGGAAAAGGGGCCCCCGGTGGCTAGGTGTCCTGCTGGGCCCGGGGAGCCAACCCCAGTGGACCCTGGTCCGGCCATGGCCAGCCAGCCAGCCAGACGGGGCACTCACCGTGAGAGCCAGCATCACCTCGTGGAAGTTCTTATTCCCCGTGATCCTCTTCTTTATTGCTCGAAAGGCATCTTTGGGACTGGACAGAGGAAAAGGGGAGGGGTGGGCTGAGGTGGGGCCGGCCTGAGATCAGGGGCTCTGGAGACGCGACGGCCCCTATGAGCCGCCTCCCTGCTCCTGTCCCTGTTTGCTGTGTGTCCAGCCTCTAATCACATCACACCACCCGCCCCACCAGAGTCCTCGGGTAGATCTCCAATTTCCGTGGCAGGGACTCTCAGTGTGTGGTCCCGGACCTCCTGAGGGGGGACATGTGAGTGTTGGTTAAAAACCCAGAACCTTGACCCCACTCTTGACCCCTGCACCGAACCTGAGGGGATGTGCGTGCTCACCACGCCCCAGGGGCTTGTGGTGCAGATCCAAGTGAAGAACCTGTGACTGTAGGCAGAGCCCTAATGCCCGTCCTGCCAGCTCCTCTGCCCACCCATCCTTTCCCTCACACTGGGTGCTGGGGACACACTGTGAACAAGACCACATGGCCCTGCTCCACAGAAGGTCACATGCTCTGTGGAGCCTGGTGCAGGTGGGAAGTGAGCGGGTCCCGGGGTAGAGCGAGTGGGTGTGGGAGGGTGGGGAAGTCTTCTCCGAGGAGGTGGCACTACAGCTGAGTGAGAAGGACGAGAGGGAGCCCGCTGTGGGGAGCAGGGCAGCGGGTGAGACAGAGGCAAGTGCCTGGACCAGGGCCCTGGGGTGGGAAGCAGGAAAGATGGGCACCCTGAGTGCGGGGGGAAGGGAGGGGCCGAGACACGGTAGGTAGGAGGGTGGATGCACCTCTGTGCAAAGGGCGCCTGAAGACCTTGGTGGCAGCTCTCCCTGTCCCGTCTGTACTTTACTGCCACCCCCATGCCTCATCCCTGCTCCTGCCCCTCAGCCCTGAACAGGTGACATTGATATATTGCCCAGACTGACCACTCCTCCCTAAAAGCCTTTGTGGCCCCCAACTCCAGAGCCACAATGCTGTCCCCGTCCTCCACCTCCCTGCGTGCACGGCCACGCGGGACTGACGGGGCCGCGGCTAGAGGCCTCCTAGAGGGCAGGGACGCAGGGCCCAGCACGTGGCAGCGGCTGTGGGAGCATGAGCACGTGGCTGTGAGGGCCTGCCCTGCTGTCTGACCAGGCGTCTGTCTGCCTCTCAGTGCTCACCAGGTCGGGGCAAGTCAGGGCAGTCGGGAACCCTGACATGGGTCACCCAACAGGAGAGGAGGCGGCAGGAAAGCCTTCCTGGGAACGACTTCCATGAGGGGCTGAGCGTGCAGGCCTGTCAGGCTGTGACAGAGGACACTCGGGGTCGTGGGGCCCATCCCAAAAGCTTGAGGCAATTTGCAGCCCAATATTAGGCACAGCTCCTCGCCCTCAGGCTCCTCCTGGGGGGAAGCTGGTGTTCGCTCCTGGCGGGCCCCTCACCTGTGGCCACCTCAGCTCCAAAGGGACCTGTCCCCACTTCTCACAGAGTGGTACAGAGAAAGGGCATGGCGCTGGGGTCAGAAGTTCTGGTGTGTGTGCCCTTGCTGTGGGCCTACTGTGTGCCCAGTACTCTGCTAGGAGCCCAGAGTGGATGACAAGGAGGCCACCGCCCAAGGAGGATTGGGCAAGAGACTGAAGTTTAGACGCCAAGCTCAGGGAGGCAAGGGTCATGCCTGCTTTGCACACTGCTGGGTCCCCAGGCCTCGTGCAGAGCCTGGAACACAGGTGCTCAAGTCGACAGCACGCACCTGAGGGGGTGTGTCTGAGCCCCTCTCAGTCTGCAAGGACCCTGCTGTGATGTCAGCTCTCCCGAATGGTCTTGACTGCCTGATGCAGTCGCCCGCAGCCCCTCTTGGGCTCCGAGCTGGGTGCCCCTGCCCACTCCCCGCCTGCCCCTCTATCACACAGCGCGGCCAGGCCGAGAGGACCTCCCACAGGACAACTGGACTCCCAGTGAAGAACGGAGAGGGAAACGAGATCCTGCTCCAACTGCTGACCCTGATTTTCCACAACAGAGGCCACAGCGGTCTGCCCTTCCTGCTGGGTGCTCGCCACGCCTCTCCCCACCCTTCCTGGATTTTTCTGAGGACAGTGGACAAGCATCCCCGCTCTGCTCCCCTCAGGGCCGTGGGCTTATGGCTAGAAGGACTGGAAAGAGTTAAAGTTACTTGCCCAGGTCCAGAGCTGGTCAGTGCCGGCGAGTCAGAGACCAGGAGCCAGCACCGTGGTGCCTCCCCCACACCCCGTAGTGCAAGCTCGGCAGGGCCCCTGGGCGCTGAGCAGGGCACCGTGGCCCGCGCCCCGAAAACTCGGCCACGGCTAGCTCAGTTCTGCGTCATCTCCACTGCCCTCCCGGTGATCCCGACCCTCCCTGTGGTTTCACACGTTAAGGAAACGAAAGTCTGTTCTTGCTCGCTGAGGAAGCCGGAGTCCCTGACACACTCCAGCCCACAGGATGCAGAGAGGTACGTGGGCGCCTCCTAATCTGAGCTGCCAGCTGGCCTGGCCTGGGAAGACCCGGCTGGGGTGCGGCTGGGAGGCTGAATGGGTGGGAGCGTCTTGGGGCCACGGGCCAGCCGCACACCTGGTGGCTCCAGGCCTCTCACCCATCTGCCGGGAGGGCTGACAGGACCGTGGCTCCAAAATGCATGTTCCTGCTGGGGTGGGGCTCAGACGGCCTCTGCAGCCCTCCTGGCCCCGAGGGGCACCTGGAGGTCTGCCTTTGCGCACAGAGGTGGTGGGATGGGTGGGGGCTCTCTGGCCGGAGGCGGGGTGCGGCAGGGTGGACGCTGACTGCAGCTGGCTGTCCTGCCTGTACCCCGGCTTACCCTTCCTCCGTCTCGTTGATGATGTCGCAGATCTCCATGTTGAGGGCCCAGTCCTCGCTCTGCAGGGAGCCATCGGTAGCTTTCTCTGAGGAGAGGAAAGCACAAGTCACAAAGGCGTGTGGGTCCCAGATGATAAACTCAAGCGGTGGGGTGTGCTGTGGTGATGGGGGTAGGGCGGGAAGAGAGGGAGGACAGTGGATGCTTCCTGGGCACCTAAGATGGCCAGTCGCTGTGTAAGCTATGCCACCTACATTGTCCCGTTTTGTCACTTAATTCTTATTAGAAGCCACACTGGGCTGGGAGCGCGCTGTCCTGTGACGGCTGAGAAGCCGTGGCTCAGAGCACTGGACGGGTGAGCAGGTTCTCGAATCCAGCCGTGCTGGCTTCAGAATGCTTGTTTTTCACGTGACAATATAGAGTGTTTTTTGGGTTTTTTAAAAAATACTAGTAATGCTTTTGTTAATTTTAGAGAGAGAGGAAGGGAGGGGGAGAGAGAAACATTAATCAGCTGCCTCCTGCATGAACCCCTTTGGGGATCGAGCCCACAACCTGGGCAAGTGCCCTGACCAGGAACTGAACCAGTGACCTTTTGGTGCAGGGGATGATGCTCAACCAACTGAGCCACACTGGCCAGGGCAATATAGAGTGTTCTGTTCTGTTTTTATAAATAAACTATTTCGCCTGGTGTTCATCACAGGAACGACGATGGAGGACACTCACACATGTTCTTTAAGAGTGAAGCGCTGTCCCTCCACTCGAACACATCACCCCTCTCTAGATTCTTCTCACACAGTGCAGTCGTTTTTTTAAAAAAATATATTTTATTGATTTTTTTTACAGAGAGGAAGGGACAGGGATAGTTAGAAACATCGATGAGAGAGAAGCATCGATCAGCTGCCTCCTGCACACCCCCTACTGGGGATGTGCCCGCAACCAAGGCACATGCCCTTGACCAGAATCGAACCTGGGACCCTTCAGTCCACAGGCCAAAACTCTATCCACTGAGCCAAACCGGTTAGGGCACACAGCGCAGTTTTTAAATAAGTTCCACCACAGCGCGCACGGACGATTTTATATGCTGCCTTTTCCAGGCCACATTCCATCACGCACGTACCCCTGGCTGGTACGTCAGGCACACACGTGCACTTTTACCATATGTAAGTGTGTGACGAGACAGGAGTTCATCAGCGCTTTAAGGTTCAGACCCCAGGGCCGTCTCCCTGGCTCCCAGACCCTGGCTCCAGGCGTGAGTCTCACACCCTGCCGGGCTCACGTGCCCGCTGGCCCCACACTGTCAGCCAGCTCTCACCTACCAGGAGTGCTCGATGGACCAGCACGTGGAACGTGATGTGATGGCACAACCGTCCTGCAAGGGAGGCGCGCATCACCCTGTTCACAGGGACACACGGGCTCAGGGGGCTGCACAGCTGCTGAAGCGCCAGGCCTGCTCACGCGCTGGGGATGCAATGGCGGACCAGATGGACATGGCCCCAACCCTACGGCGCCCAAAGAGGCTGGGCTCTGAGCCCAGGCCTGCCAGGACAGAGGGGGCCGTCTCCGTGTGACTGGGAAGGGTCCTGTTCCAGCCAGGCAGGCAGGCCCATCCCATCCTGTAGGGCAATCCCTGGGCTGGGCCAGCAGAGCCAGCTCCCTGTAACTGTGGCTTCTGTGACCTTGGTTTTGAAACTGGCCTGACTTCATTCCACCCTGAGTCCTACCTTGGGCCCTGCGGCCGGATGGATGCCAGGACGGCCCAGGACACATGCCAGGCAGGTGAGGCATCCAGGTAGGGACCCAGCGGCAGGGAAGGGTTGCTGTATTCCCTGGACTATGGCTGGGGGAGGGACGAGGAAGGGCTCCCTTTAAAAGGGTTGAGAGATGGACTTCTTCACCCTACAATTATGTGGAGTGTGGCTTCTTTGTGTCACACTCTCCACCCTTGGGGACTCATACACTTACTGAGCTAATGGGAAGAACCAAGAATGGACAGGCACCCTCTGAGGAGAGGGTGGACCTACTCTGCGGTTTAGGGGGCAGTGGCTAATCACCATGCAGAACCTGCCCCCTCAGAAGCCACGTCTCAGTGACCCGCCACAGGCCGGAAGGATTCGTCACCCGACTCCCGGACTACTCTCACTGGCACATCCAGCCCCCGACTCCC